CAGCTCACCAAGGTTTGGAGCGAAGAACTGCAGTCGTGGTGGTAGTGAGCTTTTTTCGACAGCTCAGCGACGATGACATGACTTGATACTGCAAGAAGAGAATCTTCAGAAGGTAAGTATAGCTTTATCTTTCCTACACCCAGTAGGTGAACTAATGCTTATGAGCGCACCGCGACCGCTCGCGTCTCAGCCTGCTAGACGGTCTGAAATTTAGTGCTTTATTGGAAGCTGTTTTAGCTTTAAATCCTTCATTCATGCTTGGAAGGTCTTAAAACCCCATAAAATTCTTACAAAGTGTTTTTGCTCAAAGCAAGCGTTTTTTTTTTTTTGCAATATAGCAAGTACAAAATTTTGTTCGTGGAAGGTAGGGCTGAAGTCGAAATTTGGAAAAAAGTTCACCGTCGACTTACCTTGGCGTAAAGTTCAAGTACGATATGCGATAGAAATCGGCCAATGTCAACAGCAGCTAAGACCATCACCGGAATTCCCAGCAATCCGTAAACGATTGCCAAAAACTGACCGAGGGGTGTGACTGGTACAGCATATGAGTAACCGGTCGTCGTCTATAAAAGCTACACAAGCGTTTTGAGCATATGTGGATGTATTGGCGAATGTAGGAGGACTAGGAGTCTATTAGAACTTTCGAAACCCCGGAAAGATGGAATGCTTGGTTTGCTTGGGCAGATAGTAGTGCGGGATACGATCCCGAGATCCTGTGTGTGATAATGCGCTTTTTTACGGCTTATAGTATAGCAGATCTTGAAGGAGATGAATGATTTGAGTGCAAAATGGTGACGAATATACATAGACGAACCCCTCATTGTTAGAGTTATTTGGTAGCTTACGAGCAAGTTTGTAACCTACTGCCCCGAAGGTGCTGCCAAACCTGTCAGTCCCGCCTTTATTCTACAGTGGAATTAGTGTATTCATTGCCTACGAAGCTCCCTTTAACTTAGACGTCGCTGCCCTAAGTGTCCTGCGTAGGAAAGTAAGCAGGGTGAGACAACTAGTAATTTTTATATACCAAGATACTGAGAGCATAAAGTAGTGCACTGCTGCGACTCCATCGTGGTGGAAGGGCTTCTTCAGACGGCATTCCATTGAGCAATTGAAATGGGCGAGCTTCGTGGATTGAAGACAATCTGTAAGGAACCATTCAGTTAGTCCTACTGAAAAGAGTCACTGCTCTGACATTGAACTTGTAACTTACTCTCCAATTTGTTCAAAAATTCGATCTCGGCAGGCTTCGTAGGATTCCGGTGGTGCCATTTCTCGTAAAGCTGCATCAATCACTCGATAGTCCTGTAAAATGATGCTCAAAAGGAGGGGTTTCGAGATCTTTTAGCCTGGAGGAAAAATGAGAAAATTATGAAAACCATGCGAAAGAGTTCGTGGATCTGATAAGTAGGACAGTGTGGGCATCTAAGCGGGAACCTAGCGAGCGTGCGCGAGAGGACAGAGATTTCTTTGCTGTAACGGGAATTTTCAGGTGAATCTTCCGAGTAAACCTCATTAACTAACAGTTTGGCATGCCGATAGTAAGTAAACATGCCGGATTACATCGCTTTAAAGCAACTCTTTGCTCCTGAATAGCTTTACACCTTCCCATCTAGCGTCTGGACATCTTTCCAGTAGCCATTCGTGCAAAACTCGGTAGTCACGGGTTGTTCACACTTCCACGATTTTCCGATCTGTTCAAAGTTCGACCCCGGCAGGTGCTAGATGGGCCGAAGTGAGCTTCATAGGAGTAGTGCTATGCTTAAAAGCGATGTAGTCAGGTCTCAAAACTCGTCCATCACGTCTTCCCTC